TAAATGGAATCATATGGCAAGAAGAACAAGGCAAATTCTGTGTTATGTATTTTCCACAATGTAGTAAATACCACCAGCAACAAAAAGCAAAGCTGGAGTGGGGATAGAAATGCTACACAGGGCCATGGATACTTAAGGGTGCTAGATATGCTTGTTACCTTAATTTTAATGACTTCACAGATGTGAAAATGTGTTAAAACTCAGAAACACACTTTTTTGTTTATAGTACTGGAGTTTGAAAACCTCACACTTAACTAGGCAAGTGCTAAATTCACTTTAAATATGTAGTTTAATGTATATGATTTTATACTTCGATAAAACTGCAAAGATATATATAGCACACATTATACTCTCATAAAAAGAGTAAGATTTCTGAGAAGCTCCTATAAATACAACTGGATGTGTTTTCTATGAAGCATTAGAGTTTAACTTGAAGTTATAGAAGCTAATTGGTGAATATATGATGTTTTCCCCATTGATTTTTTATGGTACCTGTTTGCATCATAAATGAAAAGTATGAATGCTTTTTAAAAATATCACCTATTTGGGCTGGGAAGGTGGCTCAGTGGTAGAGCACTTGCCTTGCATGCATGAGGCCCTGGGTTCGATTCCCCAGCACCACATAAGCAAAAAGGAAATAAGTCGGAAGTGGCTCTGTGGCTCAAGTGGTAGAGTGCTAGCCTTGAGATGAAGAGCTGAGGGACGGCGTCCAGGCCCAGAGTTCAGGCCCACGACTGGACCAAAAAAAAAAAAAAATCACCTATTTGTCATTAATGTAGAAGAGATAAGACCATAGATAAAAGAATTTTTTGTGTTTTGGTGGTTCTGGGGTCCCGAACTCATGGCCTTGTGCTTGTTTGGCAAATGCTCTACTGCTTGAGAATAAGTACTTCTTTATTGTTGACTTGAAAGCTTCTCAGGAAATCCTAGCAAAACCATTCATCAGGAAGATCTGTACAACTCTCTCATTGCTGATTGGCAGCCTCTGAATCAGGCTATTAGCCACATCTCATATATATATATATATATATTTTTTTTTTTTTTTTTGGTCGGTCGTGGGGCTTGAACTCTGGGCTTGGGCAATGTCCCTCAGCTCTTCAGCTCAAGGCGAGCACTCTACCGCTTGAGCCACAGCACCACTTCCGGTTTTCTAGTGGTTTATTGGAGATAAGAGTCTCATGGACTTGCCTGCCCGGGTTGGCTTTAAACTGTGATCCTCAGATCTTAGCCTCCTGAGTAGCTAGGCTTACAGGCGTGAGCCACCAGCATCCTGCTAGCCACATCATTTTTTATTTCAGTTGATCCTAGTACTTTTTTACCTGTATCACCTTTACCCCACTGTTAGTCCTGGCCTACCCTGCAAACACTGTCTTAATAACTATTCTTTATAATAACTTCTGCCCCAAACTAGAATCATGCATTAAATTTGTTGTCATCTCCTTATTCCCTTTAAACTGGAGCAGCCTCTCATCCTATCATTGATTTTCATGAAGGATATTTTTTAGCTAGGCACTGGCGGTGACTCACACATTAATTCTAGTACTCAGGAGGCTGAGATTTGAGGATCAATACTCTAAACCAATCCAGGTAGGAAAAGCCAGAAGTAGAGTTATAGCTCAAGTGGTAGAGTGCTAACCTTGAGTGAAAAGGCCAAGTGAGAGCACTAGGCCCTGAATTCAAGCTCTAATACAGGCACAAAGGATAATAATAATTGACTTTTTTTTTTTTGAGACTACAGGCTGTTTCCTTGTGACTCGATGAGTTTACCCAGTTTGGGCAAATAACATGTTCTGAGTACCTTACATCAGGAGGAATTATTGTGATTTTGCTGAGATCTTCTACTATTAACCTTTTGCCCTTTGAAATTAATAATTAATCTATGGAGAAATGCTTTGAAACTGTGTAAATATCTTACTACACAGCAAACATTCAATACTGTTAGAATCCTAAAGAACACTTTTATATTAAACATTTTGAAGGTAGAACCCTGTGTGTGATTTTCTACACCTTGATTGAAGACTCCTGGAGGAATTAGTTTGCATATAGATTTTGTTTTAGTTTAATTGACAAATGATGTATATATTATGAGGAACACTGTGATTGTTGTGTTTTTTTTTCAGTGCTGGGAATTAAACCCAAGGCATTGTATATGCCATGCAAATATTCCACCACTTTTTTTTCCACTAGTGGCACTTTACCATTTGAATCACACTTCTGGTTCTCCACTTGTTTTTAATAGTTTCCACTTTGTTTTTAATAGTTTCATTATGTAGTGCAGATTGGCCTGGAATTTACTATGTTCAAAGCTGTCCTTAAAATGAGTGCTATCATTAAAGGTATGCATTATCATGCCTGACACATTATGATGTTCTGATATGTTTATATTGTAAAATGATTAAATCAAGCTAATTAACACATCTTTCACTTCACTTATTATTTTGTTGTAAAGCATTTAAAAATATATATTTTAGCAACTTTGAAACAAAACACTACATTATTATTTCTTATTGTCTTCTTTTTTAGATTCCACATGGAAATGAACTACAATGTTTATCTTACCATGTGGCTTATTTCACTTAGCATAATGTTCTCTGGGTTCAATTTGTATTTATTCACATGAATGTTCCTATTTCTGTCTTATATTGTTGATTTGCTAACATCGGGTAGCAAAATCAACCGTCACAGTGGATTTTGTTTTCCATCTTGATAAGTATTAGACAGATGCTTATAGCAGAGTTCTGTGATATGCAAATTAGAAATTAGACTGATCAGTCAATTTTAGCAGGCCCCTCAGACCATTCATCTTGGAGTATTGACCTTTCAGATATTTTGAAAGAATAATAACCATAGAGAAGAACAAACTCAGATCATCCCTACTGGAAGAACTAGGTATTAATTTATATTTGTTGTGAAAGGAAGTTTCAGGGTGGTGTTCATTTAGAGAGAACACTATAGACTGTGTGTGTGGTTTTCTTTTTTAAATGTCAGCCTAATACTTAACCATGACTCATGGGGTGTCACCTTCAGTCTATTAAGAAGCAGGCTGAGTTTCTTTCAGATCTTGTCACATTGCCTCCTTGGAATTTAGCTGGAAGAAATCAGATGAAGTGAAGTAAAATCAAGTGAATCAGAAGAGCAGAGTCCAGTGACCTCATTCTGTCTGCTATTTGTTCTAGGAGTTTTCACTCTGTACCATTCTGTGAGTGTGCGCGCACACACACACACATGCACGCACGTGTGCATGTTTGAGCACGTGCCCACACGCACATGTGTATGTGGTATTAGGTGTTGGTATTGGGGCTTGAACTCAAGGCCTCATGTTCTTGCTTGGCTTGTTTGTTCAAGGCTAGTGCTCTACCACTGGCCATACCTCTACTTCTGGCATTTGTTCTGGTTAATTGGTGATAAGAGTTCATGGGCTTTCCTGCCTTGACTTGCTTCGAACTGCCATTTCAGCTCTCATCCTTCTGGGTAGCTATGATTGTAGAGGTGAACTATCAGCACCTGGCTTGCCATACCATTATCTTAGGTAGAAAAGACAGTTGCGCATAGAACTTCTCAGACTTCTAATTTTTGGTTGATGCTAGAAAATTAATTTACTTGATTAAATTGAGAGTTAGCAAAAACAGGAAACAATGAATATTTGGACTTGGCAGTGATTGCTGTTCACTGGAAGTACTCACTAAATTATAGTAAAAAATAGCTTTCTTTTGGGGAAGAGAAGCCTGGGTGAAGCTTTAGTAGCTGAGGGCTCTGAACAAACTTGGTGTCCTCACACTGTGAAAGAAGAGAAATGGGTAGTTAAAAAAAAAAAAAAAAAAAAAAGGAAGGTCTGTCTGGGAAGGTGGCTCAGTGGTAGAGTGCTTGCCTTGCATGCATGAGGCCCTGGGTTCGATTCCTCAGCACCACATAAGCAAAAAGAAAAAAGCCGGAAGTGGTGCTGTGGCTCAAGTGATAGAGCGCTAGCCTTGAGCTGAATTGCTGAGGGACAGTGTCCAGGCCCAGAGTTCAGGCCCCACGACCGGACCCCCCCCCCAAAAAAAAAGGAGGGAAGAGGACATTTAAAGATAAACTGTGTTATTACCTAGTTTCTATAGGCTAGAGTCAATGTTCTCAGAAATCTACAGAGCATTTAGGGTTGGTTAAGAAGTCTGTGCTTTGTTAAATCACTACTGGATAGTAGCTGTCCATTTGAAAAGATTTTTCTCTCAGCATCAAACCCACCTTTTCACATTGTCTTGCACTTCAAAGATGTTCCAGAAAGGATAGAAGTGTAGTGGTAAGCCAGGTGCCGGTGGCTCACGCCTGTAATCCTAGCTACTCAAGAGGCTGAGATCTGAGATCGCAGTTCAAAGCCAGCCTGGGCAGGAGAGTCTGAAACTCTTATCTCCAATAAACACTCAGAAAACTGGAAGTGGTGCTGTAGCTCAAGTGGTAGAGTGCTCACCTTGAACTGAAGAGCTGAGGGACAGCACTCAGGCCCAGAGTTCGAGCCCCACGACCAACAACAACAAAAAAGATAGTGGTAAAGTTTAGACAAGTTGAGCATCCCTAATCTACTGAAAAAGTTCAGATTCAGAGCATGTCAGATGTCAGATTTTTATATTAGGGATACTCAACCTAATATAGAAAAGCCTATGCAAATATTCCAACATTCAAAAAAACTAAAAGCTGACAAGCTTTTTGGGTAAGGAATATTCTATCTGGATAGCTTTGTTTCTCAGCCAACCTTTTTCATAGAGACAAGTTATGAAATTAACAGTTTGTATATAGATTGCATTGTTAAGAGGAACAGCTTCCAAAATCAGGAAAGTAATTATGACTGTTTCACAGAGAGATTTCTATGTTCCTACTGGAGCCTGGGTTTTGTAAATTTTTGGTTGGTTGTGCCTGATGCCTTTGGCTCATCTTGGTCAAATGTGTGCTGTGAAATTGATGCTTTACTGAATGTATTAGTGTCTCTGAAACACTGGTGACAGACTCTTTTCTAATTTCTACAGTCAGGTAAGAGATAATGGATGCACACAGTTCAACCAGAATCAATTCAAGGAAGAGGAGGAAAGAGGGATCTGGACCTAATGGAGCAACAGAAGAAGATGGAATTCCTTCAAAAGTACAACGTGCTGCAGTTGTAAGTATACAAGAATTTTCTTTGTAACATTTATCCTGGCAGGTGGAAGGTAGAAACTGATGTAACATTGATGATAGTGGTGTGACAAAAGTCTTGTTAAGATAATGGGAAAAATGAATAGTTAGGATAATTTTATAGGTTTTTAAAAATATGCTTTTTTCCCAGATTACGCCTCACAGTTCAGTTATAGGATTTTTGCATTGGAATTGGAAAAGGCATGTTAGGAAAGTGAAGGCTGTAAGTATATTGGGCTAAAAATCAAGTTCATACTAACAAGAAGAAATTGTGGCTTCAGGCAGTAATGAGATCTTAAAGTGTCTGGTATTCTTTTATTCTGTCTTCCCTGGCATTTCACCACTATCACTGGTTATATCTTAGATGGTAACCTTTTCCAATCCTTGCCATCTTTATGTACCTCTGTCTCTAGGACATTATCCTTCCCAACTATTGCCAAGCTTTAAATGAAATATCTGCCTTGACTCTTTTTAAAGCCTCCCCTCAAAAACATGTCAAAGGGCTCTTATAGACGAGTAAAGTTAATACCGTTAGTACACAACATTATTATGAAATCCATATTTCAGAATCCTGAGACAGAATTGTTTCTGTGGAATTTTTAAACTGATATTAACTATAGCCATTTACCTAACTGCAAATTCTCCTTGTTTATTCCTGCAGTTTCCCAGCCAGAGTGTAAAATATCGGTACCCAGAAACAATTAACAACAGTTCCTTGCTTTGTCTTTTGTTATTTTGTGGTTGTTTCATTTTGTTTTCTTTTTGGAGTCCGGTCGTGGGGCCTGAACTCTGGGCGTGGGTGCTGTCCCTCAGCTCTTCAGCTCAAGGCTAGCGCTCTACCACTTGAGCCACAGTGCTACTCCGGTTTTTTTTTTCTTTTTTTGCTTATGTGGTGCTAAGGAATCGAACCCGGGGCCTCAGGCATGCAAGGCAAGCGTTCTACCACTGAGCCACCTTCCTCCCAGCCCCTTCATTTTGTTTTCTTTTTTTTTTCTTTTTGGGTCCAGTCGTGGGGCCTGAACTCTGGGTCTGGGCACTGTCCCTCAGCTCTTCAGCTCAAGGCTAGTGCTCTACCACTTAAGCCACAGCACCACTTCCGGCTTTTTTCTTTTTGCTCATGTGGTGCTGAGGAATCGAACCCAGGGCCTCAGACATGCAAGGCAAGCGCTCTACCACTGAGCCACCTTCCCAGCCCTTCATTTTGTTTTCTAAAACAGAGGTTTGCTATGTATCCCACAGCCCAGATTATGCTATGTAACTCACAGTCATCCTGTATTAGCCTCCTGAGTGGTTGTATTACAGATGTGGTGACAGATCTAGCTCTATGAATTTTTCTTGAACAAAAAAAGCAATTGTACTCCAAAAGTAGAGGCCACCAGTATCATTACTGGTAGTAACAGCTTATTATTTTCTCATTGCAGCTTTAGCACATTACCACAAAATAGCTGAATATATTTTCTTATAGCTGTGGAGGTCAGAAGTCAGAAATGGGTCTTAAGTGGTAACAAAGTTGGAAGTTCTAGGAAAAGGTCCATTTCCTTGTTGCCAGCTTCTAGAAGCTATACACACCTAGCTTCTGGTACCAACCATCAGGTGGACTATTCTGGCAACTCCTTTTGTCATCACATCTCTTTTTTGATGTTTTTCACTCACTGCCTTCTCTTTCACTTATAAGGACTCTTCAGCTTGAGCATGGCTAAATTAGTAGAGCACTTGCCTAACCTTTGAGAGGGCCTGGATTTAATCCCCTGACCAAAAAAAAAAATCACTGCATTTACTGAGCTGAACATTATATACCCATCACAGTCCATACACATACATACACGTACGTGGTTCTATAGTCTTCTCTATAGTTCTATAGTCTACAGTATAGTTTTATAATCTTCTCATAAATAATTGGAATTCCAGAAAGACTTGTTACCATTTGTATAGAGTGTTTTGGTGAGCCGGGTATCAGTGGCTCACACCTGTAATCCCAGCTACTCAGGAGGCTGAGATCTGAGGATTGCGATTCAAAGCCAGCCTGGGCAAGGAAAATCTGTGAGACTCTTATCTCCAATTAACCACCAGAAAACTGGAAATCACTCTGTGGATCAATTGGTAGAGCACTTGCCTTGAGCTGAAGAGATGAGGGACAGCACCCAGGCCCAGAGTTCAAGCCCCACTACTGACAAAGAAAAAAGAATGTTAGGTGAGAGAGAAATGTTTCAATATAAGAGCCAGAACATTTTTACTAAAAAAAGAAAAAATTCAGGAATTCTTGGGGAGTAGAAAGAATACTGGGAAATCAGCATCAAGTTCTAAGCTCATGCTATTTGCATTTTCTCATTTCCCCACCAGTCTGAACACCAGACTCCATCTTCTATCTTACTGGGATTTTGAGGACTACTTTGTTAATTATGTGACTAGTCAGAAAAAATTCTTTTGGGCGCTGGGAAGGTGGCTCAGTGTTAGAGTGCTTGCCTTGCATGCATGAGGCCCTGGGTTCGATTTCCTCAGCACCACTTAAGCAGAAAAAGCTGAAAGTGGCACTATGGCTCAAGTGGTAGAGTGCTAGCCTTGAGCTGAAGAGCTGAGGGGCAGTGCTTAGACCAAGAGTTCAGGCCCTGTGACCGACCAAAAAATAAAAGTTCTTTTGGAAGTCATACTAGTATTCAAAGATCATTTATAGCTTGGAGAACGTTGTCATAATTTTAGATGCACAGGATTGGAAACATTTTGTAACTTTTAGGAGTTAACCACATAGATTAATACCAGTTAGTTGATTTTATTAACATGCTGAAATCCATTTCAGAGAATACAAGGGAAAATAGAATGAGCTACATTGTTGAGTGCTGACTAGACATAGGTATTGTGCTCATTACTATGAAGGTCTTATTTTATTTGCTCCTTGTAGCACATTGGTGGGGTGGATATTGTCTTCCAGTTTTAGAAGAGAAATATAAGCCTCCATATTTTTCTTTTTTCTTTTTTTGGGTCCGGTTGTGGGGCCTGAACTCTGGGCCTGGGCGCTGTCCCCAAGCTCTTCAGCTCAAGGCTAGCACTCTACCACTTGAGCCACAGTGCCACTTCTGGCTTTTTTCTTTTTGCTTATGTGGTGCTGAGGACTCAAACCCAGGGCCTCATGCATGCAAGGCAAGCACTCTACCACTGAGCCACCTTCCCAGCCCCTAGCCTCCATATTTTTCACAGGTAACCTCACCTCTGAATTTGCTGTGCTGACAAAAACAAGGGCATCCCATATAAATTTCTACATCTTTCCTCCTTTTTATCCAATACAGTCCTTTTATCAGCATAGTCTTTCTTCTGCTTTAAAAAAAATGAAATCTGCCGGGCGCGGGTGGCTCATACATATAATCCTCACTACTCAGGAGGCTGAGATCTGAGGATCACGGTTCAAAGCCAGCCCAGGCAGGAAAGTCCGTGAGACTCTTATCTCCAGTAAAACACTAGAAATCCAGAAGTGGCACTGTGGTTCAAGTGGTAGAACGCTCGCCTTGAGCTGAAGAGCGCAGCGCAGGGACAGCGCCCAAGCTCAGAGTTCAAGCTCCACAACCTACCCCTCCCAAAAAAAGAAAAAAGAAATCTGGCTGGACAGCGGTAGCTCATGCCTGTAATCCTAGCTCCTCAGGAGGCTGACTAGGTCAGACTCTTATCTTCAATAAACTACCATAAAAGCTGGAAGTGGCACTGTGGCTCAAGTAGTAGAGCGCTAGCCTGAGCACAAAAGCCCAGGGATAGCACCCAGGCCCAAGTTCAAGCCCCAGGACCAGAGTACGCATACCTCCCCAACCTCCTGCGCCCACAGTCACAAAAGAATCCTTGTTTCTTTGGTTTACACCTTCCTATTGCTCTCCGCAAGGCTATTTCCTACCATTTCCCTAATTTCTTCTTAAGGTATGGTTTTTCTTCTGTGTATTTTCAATTACTTTGGTTTCTCCTCCAACTTAGACACATACAGATAATTTTTTGGTCAGTCCTGGGATTTAAATTTGGCCTTGTACTTGCTAGGCAGACACTCTACCACGCAGCCCTTTTTGTCTTAGATTTGTTGTTTGTTTTTCGGATAGGTCCTTATGTTTTTGCCAGGGGTCACTTTAGACTCTGATCCTTCTGCCTCTGCCTCCTGAGTAGCTGGAGGAGCTCAGGTTGCAGATGTGTGATGCCATGCTCAGTCTTCTTTTTGAGATCAGGTCTCACCAGCTTTTTGTCTAGGCTGTCTTTGAACCCTAATCATACTATCTCTTCCTCCTATGTCAGATATTTTTTAATTTGAAAACAAACAAGACCAAGCAAAAAAGAAAATATCAAAAAACAAAAACCCTGCCTGTTGATTGGTCTGACTTCCCAGGTACCTTCTGTTGCCCTCATTACTTTTGTGCCACACATCTTCAATGAGGGGTCCCAACTAACCTATTCCCTTCTCTTATTTTCTTTTGTCTTTATTTTTATTAAGCAGTTGTGTGGAGGTTACAATTCCATAAGTCAGGTTTTGAGCTTCTTGATCAATGTCACCCTTCCTTCATCCTCCCAATTTTCTCTCTCTTGTCCTTATGCTCAAGTTATGTAGTTCGGTTTTTATATAATGACATTTGCTCATCCTTCCTACCTTCATTCCAGTGCCCACCTGTTTGTCCTATGTTGTTCCAAAAACATGTTTCCATTTCTTCCCATTTTGTTTTAAAGGTACTGGTGTTCTAACTCACTAATACATTATGGAAGGTCACTGGTTAGGGATTGAATGCAGGCTTCAGCAGGCTAGGCAAGCACTCTACCACTTGGGCCAATGCCTAACTTCTTTATTTATTTATTTATTTATTTTTTGGGTCCGTTCGTGGGGCCTGAACGCTGTCCCTCAGCTCTTCAGCTCAAGGCTAGCACTCTACCACTTGAGCCACAGCGCCACTTCCGGCTTTTTTCTTTTTTCTTTTGCTTATGTGGTGCTGAGGAATCGAACCCAGGGCCTCAGGCATGAAAGGCAAGCAC